ACTAGCCTGCCCTCTTTCAGACAGCTTGAGAGTCAGTATCTCAAAAGGCGCTGCTCCTCTTGGTCTTGTAGAACGCCGCTGTGTTTTGGCTTTCTTGCAAGACATTTCTACTTCTTTAGGCATCACACGGGGAGCTGTGACACGTCGGTCACATTTGGGGCTCCCAAAGCGGTGGTTCTGCTGTCCCAGAATCCCAGAATTTCTGCACTGGAAGGGCTCTCCATGGCCATTGAATCCAATGTGTCACTGAATAATTAAATCCCCTCTGCTTCTCAGCAGAGCGTAGGCTTTCCAGCTTTTGCTTGGATCCACCCACCCAGTGGGGAGCTCACTACTTCCCCAGGGGCATGTTTTGGTTCTGGATGGCTCCTGTTGTTAGGAAGTTTCTCCTCTCCTCCAGCCTCAACTTACCTCTTTGCAACTTTCAGCCCTTGCTCCTGGTCCTGCCCTCTGTTGCCAAAAAGAACGATCACTCTCCCATAACCTTGCAATATTTGAAGATGCGTCTGCCCTCCAAGCTATCCCATCACTGATGGTGAAAATGGATGCAATGTCCGATGTCGTCCTGACACATCTTCGTCATCCCTCTGGGTTTCGTCTTAAATACTTTGGGAGCGATTTGACTTAACAGGGCTCCTCACCAGGCATTTGGTGGACTGCTTTTCTTATTATTACTTCTTGCTGTTTTATCAGGAGATTCTCCTGTTAACCTTCCACTGTCTTCCTCGAGTCTTGGAAAGAGCGGATGGTGTGTGTCAGTATTGCCTTTGGCTGCCACGTCTCTCAGCTTGGCTAACGTGGTTTCCAGGCTCTTTGCCCCTCATTATGGATATTGCTTTACATTGCTTAAACTATCATAAGAAACGGTGCTCTCCTGTATTGATGTTTATCCATTTTCCGTCCTTTGAGATCATTAAAAAATAGCCAAGACGGAGTCGTGCTAACTTCATTTCTGTATCCTTGTCATCTTGACTGTAATTTTGCATCCACTTTGCCTTTGCTCTAAGAGTTCAGAGGCCTGGCTGGGCACAGGACATCTGATTCAGGAATGGTTCCTACAATTAGTTAACCAGCATTTATTGTCTGGGACGCAATCCATTTCATTTTCTGTGCGTCACTTTTTTGGTGCTGCTCCTGTCTAGGCCGGGCCTTCTGTCTTTCTTCTTGAAGATGGTATTCATGACATTTAAGTGTGAGATTACTTACCAACCTCCGACTTCTTTGCTGAAGCATTTTTTCCACCATTTTCTGCTCTGAGTCCCCTCTGAGTGTCAGAGTCGCCAAGGAGGGGAGTGTATGTGATATAACCGGAGGGTCGTGTTACTGAGTTCTTTGTAGAGTTTCTTCGCCTCCTCGTCTTTTGTGGGGTGTGTTGGTGCCTGCACTGCAGTGATCACCACAGTGGCATTTTTGCTCCTGCTCACGGTGAAATGACCGAGCATCTCCAGAAGTGATATTGTTGCTGGCTTGTAGTAAAACCTCCTCTGCCGTGCCCTGTACTTTTCTCTCCAAGAAGAGCCTGTGAGTAAGATGCCGCTTGCTTTGGTTTGTTTTTATTATAGAAAACAATGCCCTCAGAGTTTCTATTCTATGCCTCTGGCATTTTGGTCCTTCACTGGTCATTGTACCAAGATCCTGTGTTTAGTCAAGTAGCGGTTAATATTTTCAGCTGATCTAAAAATCGTGGGATGACTATTGCTCTCAGCCCCCTCCCCTTCCCTCCAGGCTGCCCAGGGCTGAGAACCGTCTGGCACTTGTCCTGGTGTCATGGATCGCTAAGGCCAATGGCTTTGCCAGCCAAGGTCTTGCTTGCTTGTGGCGAGCTTTTCAGTCCTTGATTGGGCTACTACTCAGTCTTCTGGAGGCCAAATGGAAAGAAGGTAAAGGGGCTGAGAGCAATAATTATCACATGATTTTTAGATCAGCTGCAGAGATGGGAACTCAATAATATGGGCCCTGCTTTCTACACCAGAGCTAACCCTCTCAATATAACCTTAAAGAACTCTGGCTCACCTCCTGGCTGTGATGGGACATGGGAGAATGACCTTGGCCAAGGTCACTTGATGTTTACTTCCAAGAAAATCCTCCTCTGTAACTGGTAGGTCTGGTGTCCAGGGCCATCTGTGGTCTCTGGGAGAGGGTTGGCTGCGCTGGAGCTTGTTTACATCTCCCTCCCTTCTCCCCTCTCCCTCCCCTCTCCCCTCTCCCTCCCTCCTCCAAAACACCTTTCCAAGGAAGTGAAGCCATCCCAAGTAGGAGGAAGAGCAATAAAATCAGGATGTCTTAGTCATGGTGGTGGAGGCAGAGTCAACAGGGAAGAGGCCAGCAAAGCCCTTTTCAGAATGGCCTGTTGGGATAATGCCCAGGGTCTGGGGCTGGACATGAGTTTTCACTGGTAGGACGTGCTCCCGATCGGTGCGTGCCAACGCTTTCTCTGTCGTTTATGGGCTGAGAGAAGCTGGGGAAACCACGCCAAACTCAGCGGCTTACGGCTTACGGCTTTCGGCTTACGGCTTACGCTGACGTCCCTGCTCTCGGGTCCTGCTTTGTCTTGCCTTCCTGATTCTCCAGAAGGGATGAAGCTGATAGACTTGACCAGAGATCCCAGGGCAAGCCAAGAGATACGTAGATCTCATAGACTCTTTGACCGGCTCAGAAGGGCCTGGCGGCCTAATATGAACCCCCTCCCCTTTGTCCTGAGTTCTGGCCTGTTTACAGAGGGGCAGCCGCCGCGAGTAGCCCAAGCGTTCACTCCACATCGTTGCCACCCCCAGGCTTACGGCTGATGTCAACTCAGCTCTTTAAAGCAAACATTAATAGAAGCAAGTCCCCATGATAGCTGACAACCAGAGTGCTCCCTCCCAGGCAGGCACGTATATCCCTGATGACAGCTGAAATGGATTTTTGGTCAGTAAAAAGGTGTGTAAATATTGGTTGTGAATCTGCACTGGGAAGCGGCGGGCCTTTCTGCCTGCTCCAGGGCTGATGTGTGCAAACAGACCCATCGCTTTGCTGCTTTACCATCTCAGGCTCGGGGGGCTCCCTCATCTGACCGGCTCGGCCATCAGCGTTGTCTCTTGACCTGGGCAGAGGCTGGAGTCATTTCAGTTGCTACCTTGAAAACAAGCTCATGAAAAGACCTCGGGGGTCCAGCTGGCTTCCCAAATACATGTTAATATTCTTTTCTGAAAAGAAGAAAAAAAAGGTGAAAGAGTGTTGGTTTTAGGGGAAACATAAGCTGCCCTGGCCCAGGTCAGAGTGGAGAGGTACCCAGCCATCATCAACCGGTCAGTCAATCCACAAACATTTATTAAGCCCCTACTGTGTGCCAGGCACTGTGCTAAGCACCGGGGATTCCAAAAGAGACCAAAGACAGTCCCTGCCCTTAAGGGACTCACAGTCTAATGGCCTGTAGGGGAGAAGAAGCAGGCAGTGCGGGGCAGCAGAGGAAGCCCTGGGGGCAGTCGGAGGAGCTGTTTTTGAATCCTGGCCTTAGATGCATCACATCTGGCCCTGGGCTGAGATGGACCTCTGACGTCCATCTCTTCTTCAAATTCTTGGTACATTTGAAACCCTGTCTCCCCACACATCTTGAGCGTCGCCTCTGAGGCCTTTCCACTACCTTGTCACAACCATCAGAGGTCAACAGCCCCAGCTGGGAACTTTATTTTTAATCGAATTCTCCGCTCCCTGCCCTTTGGACACAGAGGGTGGGCAGGATTGTGATGTCTTTTCTGCCAAAGTCCCTGGGCTGTCCAGGATCAATTCTGAGGATACTGGGAGAAGGGGTTCTTGGTGATGGTGGCGGTGGCGATGGTGGTGGTGGCGGCGATGATGGTAGTGGTGGCGGTGGTGGCGGCAGTGGTGGTGATGGTGATGGGGGCAGTGGCGGTGGTGGTGGTGGGCCTTCTTCTCAAAGAGGACCAGTGACATCCTGAGAGTGAAGTCTTGACTCGTGCATGAATTGGATGAGTGGGGCAGAGCTCTAGCCCATGTGGGAAGGACTGGCTTTGGTCATGAGGCCACCGAGGCCTCTGGGAATGTTTTGGAGTCACATCAGCGTCTGAGCACAGGCAGAAAGACCTAAATGCGGGCAGGAGGCTTTCGTACTCATCTCTCAGGGCACCCGCCATCCCAGCTTGTCTGCTCGGGTACAGTGGCTAGGGTTTGTCGGGCTGTCTTTATTCCGAGCCACCGTGCCTAGATGACAGAAGCCAGGCAGAATGTCCCCAGACTAAGATTAGGCCTTTATCCTTATGTAGGGTGAAAATCAAAGCCCTCTGTTACTGATAACTAATTTAGAGTTAAATACTCCTGAGATACCTTTACATGTAAGGTTGCTGAACGACTGCACTCATTTCACGCTCCAGCAAGGTCGTGCTTAAGATTCTGCGAGGTGGGCTTCAGCCGTCTGTGAACCGACAATTACTGGAAGGGCAGAGGCAGAGGAAATGGAGACGAAATCACCAACACTCATAAGTGTCTTCCCGCTGTTGAAATGAATTGAGGGGGGATGGCTTGCATTTATAAAGCACTCGACAATGTTATCTTCAAATCTTCACAGCAAGTCTGGGAGGTAGGGGCTGTTGGGATTCCCATTGTACAGATGAAGAAACTGAGGCTTGAAGAAGAGTAAGTTGCTCAAGGTTGCATAGTCAGCAGCCCAATTGGGATGTCAATGGGTCCTCTGGTTCCTAGGGCCAGGGATTTCTCTACCACCCAGAAATTCTTTCTGATCTCAACCTTCCATAAATCACAGCATAATGGGGGATGTGGGCCTGAGCACCCCCGGCAGTGGAGGGTCCTTGTGGGGTAGCAGGAGACCCTGGGCTTGGATTCAGAAGATCTGGCTCTCAACTGTACCAGTTTTAGGAAAATCCCAAAGCTGCTCTGTGCCTCAGTTTCCTCACCTGTAAAGTGGGATAGCAGGCTGTGAGCTCCCATTCGAAGCCGGGGTTGCTGGTACCCCGGGATTTGTCACAACTCAGCTTGTTTTCTAGTGTGTGAGCTGCGATCCCCTTCGATGAGTGACTTTCTCTGGGGCCTGGAGAATTCTGGCTGGCTGAAGCACATCAAAGCCATCTTGGATGCGGGGGTCTTTATCGCCAAGGTGAGTGATTTTGTCAGCCCCCGATGTCCTGCCTGGGGTCACATGGCCCTGGCTCCGTAGAGGCTGGGCTAGCCCATCTAAGCCAGTGCCTGGTGGGATGCTGATGTGTCCACTGTCCATGGCCAGGCCCACCCAAAGTGGAAGGAGCTAGGGCCAGGAGGTGCCTCTGGGGCTCCTGACACTCCTCTGGAGGACGTACCGAGGTGGAAAGGGGTAGAAATCAGTGCAGACGGAGGATCCCTGAAACTGGAGGAGCCGTGGCTCCTACTGGGACACTGCCCTGTCTCTCAAGTGCACACCCAGCAGGAGTGTCCCTGGGGATAAAGGGGGGAAACGGGTCATCCCAGCCTGGAACTGATGAGTCCAAGCCCCCTGTTTTATAGGGGAAGAAACTGAGGTCCTGAAAGGCTAAAGTAACCACCCAAGGTCAACATAGGTTCATTGAAAAGACACCTCAGAGACCATTGGATCTAACCCTCTGAATGACAGAGGAGGAAACTGAGGCATACAAAGTTTAGTGACTCCCCCAGGGTCACAGAAGTGATAAGTGTCTGAGGAGGGATTCGAACCCAGGACTTTGTCTCTGAGCTCAGTGACCTCTCCACTCTACCACTCCAAGGCCAGGGAGGGACAGAGGGCTTAGTCTCGGGGCACCTTTGTGATATCACAGTGGTCAGAATGACAAAAGCAAAGGGTCTGGGCTCTGGCCGTGGGTTCAGGAGTTATTCCCCATAGGGAAGACTGAGGCTAGGGTGTGCCCCCATAGGTGACAGGGAACATGAAACTGGCTATCAGCCACAGACCCCACTGTGACCCTCTGGGAATCCCGCGTCTGTGCCTTCGCTACTCTTTCTGCACGGCCACAGTGAACACTGTGGCGGCCTCAGAGTTCAGTGTGGAAGCCCCCGTTGAATCCGGACAAAACCCTGCCTGCCAGAAGGAGCTCCGTGACCTGCTCTAGCTAGGATACGCCCTTCGGAATCCACAGGAACCGGCGCCACATCCTCTCCCCCGCCAGGCAGCGTGCTTCCATCCCACCTCAGCTGGTGCAGCAGCTCCGAGTTGGAGGACGGCTCTCTCCCAGCACCAGCCCGACCCTCCTTTCAGCTGACTCTGTCCTCCCGTCTCATTGCAGGCCGTGGCTGAGGAAGGGACCAGTGTTCTTGTCCACTGCTCAGATGGCTGGGACCGAACAGCCCAGGTGTGCTCAGTGGCTAGCCTGCTCCTGGATCCTCACTACCGGACCCTGAAAGGCTTCATGGTGAGCGTGGCTGTCCTGCGGGCTGCCGAAGGCAGGCTTGGGAGCCAGCGGTGACCCCCCACACACACTGACTATGCAGCCAGAAGGCTTAGACTGAGGCAGCGCTAGCCCTAACCCTCCTCATGCCGAACCTCCCCTAATTGTGCACCGTGCCCTTAACCCCTTCAGCTCAGTCACTGACCCTGCACAATCCCAGGGCTGTTAGCGGCGAGCCTCAGAGGACATTCAGTCCAGCTGATCCCTGAACGGGACTCCCCTCTTAGCACGTAGTAAGCCCTTCACAAATGCTGGTTTCCTTCCTCCCTCTATAGCATCCCTGAGAAGTGGTCATCCGGTTTCTTCTCGAGTACCTCTAGTGATAGGGAGCTCACTCTCTTTCAAAGGGGGCTGTGCCACTTCAGACCAGCCTTAAGCGCTTGGAAATGCACCATATTGAAGTGAAGTCCATGTCTCCATAACATCCACCCCTTAGTGCTGCAGTTACTGGAGTGGCCATAATCATGGGCCCGTCTTATATGCCTTGTGTAGGTAAAAATGATTAGGTAAAAACAGACTTGGCTAAAGATTGTGAATTCAAATCCCGATCCTAATTCAGTCGTAAGAATGGCGCTTCCGCTGGGATCCTTGCCTTGCTTTGGGTTAAACGTGGGCGTCACCACGGGCGGCCCCATTGTTGTGGCCCCTTCTGTGGGGCTGTTGACCTCTTCAGGAGGTGGCTGAGTTTTCCCAAAGACCGCAGGGTGAGTGTCACCTACTCAGCGTGCCTCAGAGGTCACTGGGGCTGTGATACCATGTTTTCTGAGCCCGTGTCTTTCTTCTTGTAGGTATTAATTGAAAAAGACTGGATTTCCTTTGGGCACAAGTTTCATCATAGGTAAGTTTGTGCCCTTGCATAGGGCATACCAGCAGTGATCTGATTTTAAAGCTGGAAATTGTTTAGGGTTGCGAGAGGAGCCATCTGGTTGAGAGACAGCTTACTGGCTGGCTTACTAGACAGACTTTTCTCTGCCGTTGAAGATGTATGCTGTTTCTTATTACAGATGCTATGGTACATGTATTGTTAACATGGGTGTCACAGAGGGAAAAATGTCCAGCTTCTGGCTAACACCAGTGTCAGCTAGGTCTGATGTATTTTAGTCTTTCCTTGGATTCAGGAACTCATCGATGGAAGAGCCCTCATTGGTGTACCTCACAGCTCAGCCATACTTTCTCATTCTGTGTAACTTTGGGCAAATCACTTCCCTGCCTAGAGTCTCACTTTGCTCAGCTAACGAATGAGAGTGTTAGCTTATAAGACCACTATGGTCCTTTCCATTACAAATCCTTAATTGCAAAAATCCCTGTCCAAATTAAGAGTCTTCTTGTTGGTAAAGACTCCCTGGCATGGAAAAATGCACATTTTTTTGTAGGTAGTGCACATTTTATCTCTACAGCTAAGGTGACTGAGACTCCTAGAGGTTCTGTGGCTTGCAGTCAGAGTAGTGAAGTCACAGGTGAGTGACCTTCAGAAACCATTTGTTTAATTCCATTCTGTATCCACAAGGCACTGCACATGGTATGAGAAGACCCGGGCTCTTTTGGACTTTGCCAGCTTCTGGGCCTCTTCTGCTTTGTGAGCTCAGTGACCCTGGGCAGGTCACTGGGAACCTCAGTTTATCCCCATATGCAGAATGGGAATAATGATAACGGCACTACTGACCACACAGGACCATGATGAGAAGAACATTGCTCTGGAAAGGGGAGGTTTCTGGCATCTTCTCTGTGTGTCGGCGCTCACTGCCTGGAATGGTACTTGTGTGTGTGTCTGTCCCTTTGCCAGCTTTTCTGCGCAGGGCCTGGGGCTGCTTTGGGACCCCACTTCTGTCTGTCCGGCTTCCTTTTCGTCCTTCCCCCCAGCGGGCACACCTGCCCATCCCCCTCAGCATCTCCCGCTGTCGTTGCAGGTACGGCCACCTGGATGGAGACCCCAAGGAGATCTCCCCGGTCATCGACCAGTTCCTCGAGTGCGTCTGGCAGCTCACGGAGCAGTTCCCCTGCGCCTTCGAGTTCAACGAGAGGTTTCTGGTGCACATCCAGCATCACATCTATTCCTGCCAGTTTGGAACCTTCCTCTGTAACAGCCAGAAGGAGAGACGGGAGCTGAGGCAAGTGGAGCCCCCCACCCCCACTCAGTGCTCTGTCTGCTGAATTTGGCCCGCCATGGAGGCTGGCCTTTAAGGGGGACCGGGCTTGAGTGGAAGGCAGGGTGACTCGACCAGGTCAGCCGATGTTTATGGATGACAGGAGCAAGCTGGCTGGTCCAGTCCTATGGTTTGTGGGCGCAGAGCAGTCCCAGTGCGGGAAATCCCTCCGTGATGCAGGTCAGCCTCTCCTCCTCAGTGGATGGTCTGCGGAAGTCACCCAGAATTTTTAAGTATGTCGATCAGTTTTGATGATTTTTTCCCTCTTCTTCCTCTTTTTCTTTAAAGATATTATTTTTGATTACATGGGATAGCTGTCTGGGAAGGCAGATGGGGAAAGTTGATGTAAAAGCAAAAGCTATCAATGCAAATCTGTGATTTTTTTTTTAAAAAGTAAGTTGTCCCGGAGCACTTAAGAGCTTAAGTGACTTGCCCGGGGTTGCTCAGTCAGCAAGTGCTGGAAGTAGGTCTTGAATCCAGGACTCCAATCCAGGACTCCCTCATTCCACAGCCAGCCCTGTTTTCAGGAGCCCCGCTGACTCTAAATTCATTTACCTGTAAAATTTCCAGCCAGGTGGCGCCACAGTGCGTAGAGCCAGGGGCATGGAATCAGGGAGAGTTATCTTCATGAGTTCAAATCTGGCCTCAGACACTTCCTAGCTGGGTGACCCTGGGCAAGTCACTTCACCCTGTTTGCCTCAGTTTCCTCATCTGTACAATGAGCTGGAGAGGGAAATGACAAACCACTCCGGTATCTCTGCTGAGAAAACCCCAGACGGGGCACGGAGGGTAGGACATGGCTGGACAAGAAGAATGTTCAGGTTATGAAACGTGACCAAAGCCAGCTTTTTGCAGTATCTTCACACGAAGCTGGTGAGTGCACGCTCAAATGCTTTTGGTAAACTTAGTGAATCTGGGACATCTGAGAGCACTCACTGCCCCTTGGGAGAGAGGACCCCGAAGAATGTGCTGACACCCCTGCCTGAGGCAGTGTGCTTGGGAAGAGCACTGAAGGCAGAGGCGGGAGCCCTGGGATCCCCCTGGGTCCTCCCGCTGGCTCGGAGGGACCCCGCCAGGGGCTCCGTCCTTAAAGGCAGGGGGCGGGACTTGCTGGTCGGAGACGCCTGGATTCTGGGGAAGGATTTCAGGTGGATGGTGTTCATTCTGTCTCTCAGGATTCAAGAAAGAACACACTCGCTGTGGGCTCACCTGTGGAAGAATCGGGCCGACTACCTGAATCCCCTGTTCCGAGCGGACCACAGCCAGGCCAGGGGGACGCTCCGGCCCCCCACCAGCCCGTGCAACTTCACGTACAAGTATGGGAACTCCTCTGTTGTCTTTTTCAGGCATAACAAATATTTATGAAGCGAGAGCTGGTGTCTGGGCCCTGGGCTCAGCCTCAGGGAGATGTAAAGTAGAACTCAGAGCCTGTGGCTGCCCTTCTGGACCAACCCGCCCCATAGGGAGATGCAGCACAAATGCACATCCCTCAAACGTGACTATATTTGAAAATATATAAGATAACGCGTTCAAAAGTCTGAATCACTGAATTAACAAGAGAATGAACGAATGAATGAGTGAATGAACGAATGGGTGAATGAGTGAATGACTCCATGTCTTTTCACTGGCTGTCCTCCATGCCTGGAATATGCTTCCTCCTCACTCCTGCCTCCCGGCTCCCCCAGCTTCCTTCAAGATGTAACCAAAGTCCACCTTCCATGGGAAGACTTTCACGATATCTTTTAAAGCTAGTGTCTTTCCTCCGTTGATGATTTCCTGTTTATCCGCTATTTAGCTTCTCTTTACACATGTGTTTGCTTGTTGTCTCCCCAACTAGACCGTAAGCTACCTGAGGGCAAGAACCGTTTTTGCCTTTCTTTGTATCTCCAACAGGTTAGGCTGAGAGCCTTAGCTGTGTCTGGCATATAAGTGCCTATTAAATACTCATTGACAGACTGAATGCATGAAGGAATGAAAGAAAGAGCATTTACTAAGTGCTTACAGCATTTCAAGATCTGAGGATTCAACTACAAAAGCCAAACGGTACCTGCCCTCAGGGAGCTTATATCTAATGGAGGAGGACAACGCAAGTGGCCTGGGAGGAGCTTCCAGTTCAGGAAGTTACTACATAAACTGAGTACCTCCTTATACAGGGATGGAAGTACATTGACAAGCCCCATCCAGGCACAATGGCAGAGTTGATTTGATCCCAGCTCCAGACCTCAGGGGTTAGGGTGAGGATTCTGTCTAGGATGTGGAGATGTCAGGGGACTAGGGAGTGAAGGGAGAGTGGGCCGGTGAGATTGTCACACCTTGATTGGAGAGATACAAATCCAATCTAGAGGAGGTCTGGGGGAGAGACGGCTGTGGGAAGGCCGCCTGAAGGATGGGGGAGTCATTGTTGGGAGTAACAGAGACTCCGGGAAGAATAGAAATGTTGCCGTGTTGCTATGAGGACAGTCAGTCAGCAAGCATTTATTAAGTGCCTTCTGTGTGCCGGGTACTGTGCCAATGGCTGGGGATACAATGAAAGGTCAAAGTGGTCCCTGCTCTCAGGGATCACAAAGATGTGCAGTCAGGCCATTCGTTCCTGGTGGCCTCTTCTCCATCCTCGGCCTTCCCACCCTCTCTCTGTGGAGTTTGCTGCTGAGGCCGACTCTCCCTTCTATGGGCTTTGTAACGCTGCTGCTGCCGCCACCGCTGGGTTCTCCTCCCCGCTGCCGCTGCTGGGTTCTCCTCCCCGCTGCCCTTGCTACTACTTCTCTGTCTCCTCTGCTGGACAGTGCACCATTCAGGTCCTTCCCCTGACCCCCACTTTCCCTCTTCAGCTCCAGGTCTCCGATCCAGCCCTTCAGCAGAAAGAGGGACAAGATTTTTATTTGTTCACGAGATCACAGAAAGTCTCCTTAGAGTCCAGCCCGTCACCTTATATACGGTGGTGTTCCTCCCGGAGATGCCCACGAGGCCTCCTTTGCAGACCAAGGCCCACAGAGGTCCAGGTCACCCAGTGAGGCCTTGGCAGAACTCTGGATGGACCAAGGTGTGGGGGTGACTCATCTCCTCTCCTCATTTATTACTCCTTCTAGCTGGGTGCAGATTGAGATTTTCCCCCCTTTTAATAAGTCTTTAATTTTTTTCCAATTACATGTAGTTTTCGACAGTCACTTTTATAAAATTTTGAGTTCCAAGTTTTTCTCCCTCCCTCCCTCCCCCCCCCCTCCCCAAGACAGCAAGCAATCTGATATAGGCTCTGCTTGTACAGTCATGTATCATTTCCACATTAGTCATGTTGTGAAAGAAGAATCGGAAAAAAAGGGGAAAACCATGAGAAAGAAAAAAATAAAAACAAAACAGAAGTGAAAATAGTCTGCTTTGACCTGCATTCAGACCCCATAGTTCTTTCTCTGGATGTGGATGTTTTCCATCATGAGACTTTTGGAGATGTCTCAGATCCTGGCATTGCTGAGAAGGGCTAAGTCTATCAACGTCAGTCATCGCACAATGTGGCTGTTACTGTGTACAGTGTTCTCCTGGTTCTGCTCACTTCACTCAGCATCACACCGTACGAGTCTTTCCAGGTGTTTCTGAACACACAGCGATCTTTATTCTGAATATCCATTCACTGACGCCTGTGTACAGGTTGCGAGGTCAGAGAGGGCTCGAGTCTCAGGAGGCGGCTGCTACTGGTATGAGATCTTCTTACTGGAAGCTTGTCTTGTGCCCCCCTTCACTCCCTAGTCCCCTGACATCTGCACAGTCTAGACAGAATCTTCACGGGACTGTACCCAACCCTAACCCCTCGAGGTCTGGAGCCATGATCAAATCAACTGCCATTGTTTCTGGGTGGAGCTTGTCAACATACTTCCATCCCTGATTTTCTTCTTGAAGAAAGTACTAAAGAAATGAAAAAAGAAGAATGATAACAGACATCTGCTTTTTTTGTTCGTTTAAAACAAAGTCCATAAAGGAGCAGAACAGGGACTTTGGTGACCTGAAGGGCCATGATATTGTCCCTGAGTTTAGAAATGAACTGATTGTTGTACCAGGGTGTGGCCAATTAAATCCCTAGAAACAGGGTGGGTGGGGAGGAGAGGTTGGTGAGAAGGACCGAGTGTCCACCTGGGGGCATGTGCACCTTTCCCAGTAGTCTGCCCCATGACAGTGTTACAGGAACATCTATCACTCTCCTCATTTTACAGATGAGGAAAGTGAAGCCCTGTGAGCCCCAGCTTGAAAATAACAGCAATGCTCCAGTCCGTTATCTGTCCACAGAGAACACCCTCCCGTCCGACGTCAGCTTGTGAATAATGGGATTGGCATTTCGTGTTTAAGTACCAACCCCTGTTAATAGTTATAACCTAGAAACCGGGTGATTCTTGGTGTCCTCTGCCCACCTGCCTTGCCCCCTCTTTGCCGCTCTGACGTTGTCAGGGCAGAAGCTGAAGGTTCTTGCGCAGGACCAGGGGCCATGGGAAGTCATGCTTTGTTTCATAGGTTGCCATGTTCTTGGAGAGCAGCCCCACCTAGGGTGCGTCCCTTCCATGAGGAAGGCATGAGGAAGCTGGAGAACTTCTCACAGCACTGGGTTTCTAGAACTGTCAGAGCTACAGCCCACTCACCTTTGGCTCAACCCCCTTCAGCACCTCCAGCTGCACCGCAAGCCAGGGGAGCTCCTTGGCTCCATGTTCTGGGTCAAGCCCTGGCCTTATGTTCTCATGGGGATTCATTTCTTAAGAGCCTGGGGAGGAGGAGGAAGGATATTGTATGAGTGACCCCCATGTCACAAACCATCTGTGGGGTTTTCCTCTAAGCCTCTGTGATGGGGAGAATCCCCGTGTGGCTCTCCTCAAATGGGCCGGGGGGGAAACAAAAATGAGAAAATCAGGAGACAGTTACTGGCTTCCTGTTTGGCGGTTCACCATTCCACTGTCAGACCTGGCTTTTCAGCGCTTCCTTTGGTTTACTGGTTAATTGACTATATTCCTTCAGTTTACTGGGTTTTTTTTTTTAATTGACAAGCATTTATTTTCTCTCCCAATTATCTCCCCCACCTCCATAAAAAAAAGAAAGCCCCAATATCAAATACACATAGCCAAGCAAACCAAATTCCCACATTGGCCGTGTCCAAAGATACATGTCTGATTCTTCATCGTGAGTCCATCTCTCCGTCAGGAGGCAGGGAGTACCCTGCCTCACTCGGTCCTCTGGTGTTACGAGTATTTGCTGTGGGGAATCAAAGCTATAGGTCTTTGCAATTTGTCTCCCCAAAGTGGTCATCATTGCATTCTCCTGGGTTCTCCTGGTTCCAGTCACTCCCCTCTGCATCAGTTCGCAGAAGTCCCCCCAGGTTTCTCTGAATTGTCCCTTTTATCATTGTGATAGCACAATAGGGTTCCATCACATTCATAGACTGTAACTTGTTTAGCCATTTGCCAGGTGATGAGCACCCCCTCAGTTTACCATCACAAAAAGAGCTACTATAAATATTTTTGGATATGTGGATCCTTTTCCTTGGACCTCTTTGGGGTGTAGGTTTAGCAGAGCTATTGCTGAGGCAAAGGCGATGCACAGAGCTAAGTAATTTTGGGGGCAAAGCTCCAAATTCCTTTCCAGAGTGGCTGCTCCAGTTCACAGCTCCACCAACAATGCATTAGTATGCCTGTTTTCCCACAGCCCCCCCCACCCCATCACCTGTCCTTTTCTTTTGTTTGTCTTTTTCATTTTTTGAGGCAACTGGCTGGCACAGGAGACAGAATGCTTGACCTGGCATCAGGACAGCCTGAATTGGAATCCTTCTTCATACGTTTACCAGTTGTGTGACCCTGGGAAGTCACTTAACCTCTATCTGCCTCAGTTTCCTCATCTGTGAAATAGGGATAATAGTAGCACTTACCTCTTGGGTTTTTGTGAAGAGCAGATGAGATGACACGTCATGTGCTTTGCAAACCCCAAAGTGCCGTATAAAAGCTAGATATTGTATTATTTTCCAATCTGATGGGAGTGAGGTACAACCTCAGGGCTACTTTCATTTGCCTTTCTATGGTCATTAATGGTTTGAAGCATTCTTCATAGGTCTTGGATAGCTTGAATTTCTCCTTTTGAAAACTGCCCAATCACATCCTTTGACCATTTATTAGTTAGGGAGTGGGTCTTCGTTCCTACAAATTGGATTCAGTTCCTTTGTCAGAGAACTTGCTGCAAAGATTTTTCCCAGTTAACTTTCCCTTCTAATTTTAGTCGCATGGGCTTTGTTTATACAAAACCTTTTAAATTTTGTGTAACTAAAATTGTCCGTTTTATCTTCCGAGTTCTGTCTCTTGTCTGGTTGGTTATGAATTGTTCCCCTATCCATACATTTGAAAAGGTAATTTTATTGCTTGTTGGTCTAATTTGTTTATGGTGTGACCTTTTAAATCTAAGCCAAGTGGTATCTGGTGTGAATGGTTGGCCTCCGTCTGTTTTTAAGATTTGTTCTGCCTCGCATCCCATCTGCACTCCCGTCCCCCGCTTCTCCCAGCCCAGAATCCTTCTTCAGAAAACCATTCTCAGTGATTGTTTTCTTTCTTCTCCCAGGGGTATCTATACAGTTGGTGCATGAAACTGTCTGTAGGTGGCTCCGATGGAGCTTTGAGCCTGGCAGTGTCTTGGCAGTAACCCCGGCCTCTGCTATCTTCTCTAGGTTTTGGAGTGGAATGTATAACCGCTTTGAAAAAGGCATGCAGCCTCGGCAGTCAGTGACCGATTACCTCATGGCCGTGAAGGAGGAAACACAGCAGTTGGAGGAGGAGCTGCAGGTCTTAGAAGAGGTAACTGCAGGCCTGAGGCCAGTGGCTTTTTTTTTTTTTCCATCACTCTCTTGTGGATAGCCGGCAAGCTCCCCATGGCCTTGTCTGCCCTCGTGCCTCCGCCTCCTCCCCCTGCCATCCTGTATGCCGTCGCCAGACCAAGCCCAGAATGCTGCTCTCGTGAGGCGTGCCCCTGCTTCAGCATTAAGTCTGGACCTCTCTGCCTACCTTTGTCTAGCCATCTACTCAGCCTCCCCGTCCAGCCTCTCTGTCCATTCTTTATCGCCATCCCCAACCCCACTCACTCTCTGATTGTTGAGCAGTTACACCAAAATGGCCAGCCCTACTTCAGACACCTCAGCTACCATTCCTCATCGGTTCCTTTCCCCTAGCATTCCAAGGAGCCTTTCTTCCTTCCTTCCTTCCTTCCCTCCCTCCATCCTTCTTTCCTCTCTTTCTTCACCTACCTTCCTTCCCTCTCCTTCTTTCCCCCTCCCCCTTCTTTCCTTCCTTCCTTCCCTCCTTTCCCCTTCTTTCCTTCCTTCCTTCCCTCCCTTCCCTTTCTTTCCTTCGTTCCTTCCCTCCCTTCCCCCTTCTTTCCTTCTTTTCTCTCCCTCTTCACTTTCCTTCCTCCCTCCCTTCGTTCCTTCCCTCCCTCCTTGTTTCCTTCCTTTCTTCCTTTACCTTCTTTCCTTCCTGCCTTCCCTCCCTCCCCCTTTCTTTCCTTCCTTTCTTTCTTTACCTTCTTTCTTCCCTCCCTCCCTCCTTCTTTCTCTCTTTTCTTTCTTTACCTTCTTTCCTCCCTTCCTTCCTTCCACCATCTGCCCTTCCTTAAGTATACTGGCTTCCCTTCTCTGAACTGATATTCTATTCAGAGTTCTAGATAGTAAGATCCTTTTAGAAAACATGAGTTTGAGATGTTTCTGGCATGTCTAGGTAGAGATGCCTGGCAGAACTCATGCTAAAGGGGCAGATGGTAAATGGTGAGCACTCAACCTTCCACCTCTTCTCCATGGAACTTCTTTAGTTAATCAGTAGTCAGTCAACAATGCCTTATTAAGCACCTACTATGTACCAGGTACTGTGCTGAGCACTGAGGATACAAAGACAAAATGGAACAATCTCTGTCCTCATGGATATATGTGTGTATGTATGTATGTATGTATATATGTGTATATGCATAGATGGATGGATATACATGTATAACCATGTGTTTATATCTTACATACACACATACATATATCCATATGTGTGTATATATACATATCTATCAATCTATATCGATATCTATATATCTCCATGTTTTCTCCTCAATTAGAATGTGAGTTTGTTTAAGACAGGGGAAGGCTAGTCTAGAGCCTGGTAGAGCAGGAAACGTAGAAGGTGGTACCATAATTAAGTCTTGAAAGACACAAAGAATTCCAAGAGTCAGAGGTCAGGAGGGAGGGCCTTCCAGGCCCTGGGGTGCCAGGCTAGGCCAAATGCATGGCCGTCGGAGATGCCATCATGTGTGGCCAACAGAAAGCAGGTCAGCATGGCTGGACAGCAGAGAACGCGGAGGGGAGTAATGTGTGAGCAGATGGGAAAGGCAAGAAGGGGCCGGATTTGATGATTTGATCCTGAGGTAATAATAGACAGCGGCTGGAGCTTAGTGAGTAAGGAGCGGGTGCCATGTTCAGACCGTACTTTAGGAAGATCACTTTGGAGGCCGTGGATGTGTGTTGGGAGCGGGGAGAAGCAGATGTCTGCAATTGCCTAGATGAGAAGTGAAGAGGATTTGGATTAGGGCCGTGGCTATGTCGGGGGAGAGAAAAAGGGATGTAGAAAGAGGCGTTGTAGAGGTAGAAATGGTGACACTTGGCCACTGATTAGATCTGTGGTGTGAGTGAGAATCAGAAGTCAGGGCCTCTTCAAGGTGTAGGTGTGGGTGTCTGGAAGAATGAATGAATGAATGGATGAATGAATGCCGTTTACTCATCAGTAGCTAGCTTAGTGCTCCAGATATCAATTTCAGCCTGCCCCCAAGGCCCTGACTTTCCAATGGGAAAGGGCTACATACAGAAGGAAGCTAGGAGTAGGGGTGGGGGGAATGTGTACCAATGGCGTTGGTGGTTTGGAAATGGCCAGGAGGTAGGTGGAGGTCCCTTCAGTAATGACAGAGCAGTTCAGAAGAGGAGCAGCTTTTAAGGAAAGGCCAGTGAATCCTCTTTCAGACACGTGCAGTTTGAGAGCTTACAGGATGCCCAGTTTAGAACGTGGGTGAGGCGGTTGGCGATGGGGGGCCGCAGCTGGATCAGTGGTGATGACACAGATTCGGGAATCATTGGCGTTGGGGTGATCATTGCACCCGTGGGAGCTGGTGACATCGAGTGAGACGATAGAGAGAGGGCCTAGGACAGAGCTGGAAGGACCCTGCAAGGCTTCCACCGCTGTGGGTAAAGGGCGTGACCTGGAGGGAAGTGCAGCAAAAGAGAGGAGGAGAGCAAGGGAGAGCAGGGGAGGGTGGTTGGCAGTGTGGAAAGGTAAGGTGACGAGAGGAAGAGGGCCTTCGATTTGGCAGCTGAGAGACCCTTGATGTCTTTGGAGAGAGAAGTTATGAGTTGCAGAGGGCAGTGTGAAGAAAGCCAGAGGAGACTGACCGAGGATGTGCCAGGCTTTGTGCTCAGCGCTGGGGATACAGAGAGGCAAAAGGCAGGCCCCACCCTCAGGGAACCCACATGCTAACAGTGAGACAACTAGCAAACGGTGATACACAAACAGAATAAATTGGGGGTTATTGCTGTTGACTGTAACATCAGGGAGGTACAAGTGAATTGGATTTAAGGGAGGCAGGGCTGTGCAAAGTCAGCAGCCTCACCTTCTCCTCTGAGCCGTCTGGGTCCAGCAGCCAGATGTAGATCAGGACCACTGGACTGGGCCCCCGATGCTGTGGGGGACCTTGAAATTTTTAAGCTAAAGTCTTTAGCAGGTCTCCTTATGACCGAAGCAACGCCCAATCAGTGATTAAGGCTAGGTAAGAAATGAGGCAGAGAATGGCCTCTTTTGCCTAGTCAAAAAAAAAAAAATCAATCTAGGAAGGGAAGGCCCTCAGGGTTTCTGGCCAAAACAGAAAAAATTGCTATTTACATTCACTCTGAGCCAATCAGGGCCCAAACAATGACCAAGTGAGGCTTGGCCAGTCAAGGCTGGAGCTATCAGTGTCTCTGTTGGCTTCAGTTTCCTCCACAGTAAAATTCGATGATAACAGCATCTACCACCCAGGCTAGCTGTGAGAGTCAAATTAGGTCATGTTTGTAAAGCGCTTTGCAGATCTTAGAGTTCTCTAAAAATTCTAGCTATGAGCTATCGTTATGTATAAAAAAGGCAGTGTGGAAATGCTTGGAAGGCTGCCATGTGCAAGAGGGATTTGACATGTTCTTTTTGGAGGGAGGACAAAGGCTTGATGTTGGAAAAACCATTGAGTGCTGCTGTTGACAAGTGGAACGGGAACGTTCATGGTTGCTTGTGAGGGTCCCACGGTTTGAGTGGGAGACCTCGGAGGTCTTCGGGTCAAGGCCAGATGACGAGTCCTGCTTTTTTGGGCAAAGGTTGGACTAAACATTTGAAATTCTGTGACTTGGAAACATTTCATAAAAGCTCTGTGGTTATTGAATGTGGTTATTGAATAGAGTGAACAGAGAAAATGTCCATCACCCCAAACAAATGGAAACTTTTTCTTTTCAGAGATTGGAAAAAATCCACAAGATTCCGCTTAGCGACACGCCGGGGAACAGGGAGCCCGGTGCGCCACAGAGCAAATGTCCGGGGCTGTCTGCCTCCACCCCCAGTGTGGGGAACCCCGCGGCGGATTCCGGCGGACAACCGAAATCATCGCCCTCCCGGAGCCCGTCCCAGGGAGACGACGATTCTGCCCTGATTCTCACGCAGGAGAATTTAAAGAGCTCCGATCCGGACCTCTCGGCCAACAGCGACCAGGAGTCTGGAGTGGAGGACCTGAGCTGCCGCTCCCCGAGCGGGGGCGAGTGCTTGCCCAGCGAGGACAGCGGCAAGGACCCCGATCCCGACGAGGCGGTGTTCCTCACCGCATGAGCCCCTCCTGCCCCCCAGGACTGCTGGGAATGGGAAATGTTTCCCCCAAGAGGGGAGCCATGCAATCCAAAATGGAATGACTAAAATGGAGAGTGGGAAATACGGTCACGTAGCCAAGGGCTGTCAGTCATTAAGGAGGTTTGAGCATAGAAAATTGTTCAAATGGCAGAAGCTTTCCTCCCCCCTTCCAGGTATCATATGAAAATCAAGGTAGAGAAATGACTTTATAAACATAAAGCATAGTACTTTTGGAACTGGGATTCAAATGAGAAAATACCCTCAGTAATTTTCTTTTCAAGCTTGATATATAAATTCTAGGTCACATAACACTTAAACCTCTTTCTTTTAAAATCCTTGAAAACAAGTCTAAGAAACAATAATGATAATCACTGACTTAAAAAAAAAACCAACCCTTTGAAAATTCCCCAAAGAGAGGTCCTGATGTAGAAGGAGAGAAAAATCAAATTTCTTAGACACAAAGCATTTGGGGGGAGGGAGAGAAGGAAGAAAAGAAAAGGCCTAGGGATCACGAATTAATTCAGCAAATGTTAAGTGCCTACTGGTTGTTTCAAGGCACTAGGGCTGCCTTCAAGGCTCTCCTAGGAGGATGGAATCCATAAGCAAGTGAGCAAATACAAGATTATTGGAGTAGAAAGAGAGGGAGATCCAGGAAGGCTTCCCAGAGGAGGCACCAGAGCTAAGCCTAGAAGGAAGATGAAGAGGGAATGCATTCCAGGAATGGGGACTGAGTCTGGAAAGCTGCAGAGGCAGAAATGGGACATCAGGCTATTGGCTGGAGAGGTGAGCTGGAACCAGCTCAGTTGGGGATGGGGGGAAGGGGACATTTAAATGCTAGGTGGAGAAATTTGTATTTATTTTATCCTGGGACAGTAGGGATTCAGATCAGTTGGGAGCAGGAAATACTTACTGGTGTTTTGGGAAGATTTTTGGCAGCTGTAGGTGTGGAAAACTGAAAGGGAGAGAGAGGGAAGGCAGGAAAACAAACTGGGAGGCAGTCCAGGGAGGAGGGGGTAAGGACCAGTGATTTCAGGGCATAGCCTGTTGGGGAGATAGCACCTGGATGGATGTGAGGGGGAAGGAGAAGGGAGTCCAGGGTGATTTCCAGGCTGCCTGTGGAAATGCCATGGATAACTTTATGTGCAAGATGGGGAGTTCTCTTGGAGAGGCTGAGGGAGATGCTGATGGGTGTTCTGTCCAGGGGCACTAGTCACAACAGCTTCCCACGTGGTGCTGTCCTATGTGTGCAGGAGCTCACCAAAGATGCTTTCAACGTAGCTGGTACCTGAAAGGGATCCTTGGCTTTGAAGACGTCCTGGTCTTACCTCCTGGCTTCCTAAAACCAGGCCTGGGGTCATGGGAGATCACCTTCTAGTCTGATCCCCTCAGGTTACAGATGAGGGAAATGTGATGCCCCCAGTCTCAGAGGTAGAAAATGATGGTCGGTACTGTTCTGAGTGCATTTAAAGGGTGGCCAGAGAGGTCCATTCCCCTTGGTGTAAAGTAATCCCTCCTTACTCAAGTCACACTGAAATTCAAGCCGCCCCCAATCCCCCCATCTCTTTTTGTATGGCCTGTATCATAGAGAGAAAGCTCAGTGGCAGCCTCATAATCCTACTTCTTCCACTGGTAATGATTCTTAACCACAAACTCTGAAAATGAAGCTTCTTTCAAACAAGAACAAGCCTCACTCCAGCCCACCAGTCACGTGAATATACCTCAGTGGCAAAGCTCAGCTGCAGGGGAGCAGGGCTTACTCTCAGGCCTGGTACCGAGCATACCCACTCCTTCCCCACATCGAGAGAGAAAAAACCACAGCCTTGACGCTCACTGACGTTGCTGGAGTGTGAATTAAGAGTAGAGCATGTGACTGGGACTTTAACGAGCACCTGGTCTTTCGTTCCAAGAATTTTTGGTATTAACAAGTGAGTGGGAAGAAATCTGGGGGCAGGGTAGCCTAAAGTCATGCTGTGGTAGGTCCTAGGCTTTATTTAGCTAAGCCTGGGTGTCAAGAGGACTGATAACTGGGCTCTCACTGAGTCCTCGGGTCAGAGGCGGAGGTGCTTACACGCAGCAAGGAGAGCCCTGTCGACTGCTTTTGTCATCACTGGCTTCAAGTCCCGGAGCCTCACCTGGGGCCTGTGGGGCAGAAGGGCTTCTCCATTCTGCCTCAGGTTTCTGCATGCATGGTGTTCAGGTCAGCACATCAGACCCTAAGCTAGTCTTGGTATTTTTTTTTTTTGTCCTAAAACTATTTTTGTAACATCTGGGATTATGTCCCCATGGTCTTTCTACCTCGTATAGTGTAGTTTGGCACGGGAACACTTTCTCTGGGCTAACACAGAAACGACTATATTTTATCGTGGCTTCATCGCTCCTTCAGCTTTTCCTTACAGAATGTTTTCACTTTGGGATCCTCTCCATTCTTCGTTTCCATTTTAAAATGCGGACTAGCTCTGGTCTGTTTGGACAAAGCCGAAGTGTCATTGGTGACTGCCAGATCTAGCTGGTTACGTGCTGCTCCGTGGTCCATCCCAGCATCAGGTTAGCCTTTCTGAGACAGACTGCCAACTCCAGACACTAGCTTTGGAAGCCTGGATTGACCAAGGCCAACCTGACAGTCATATTGAATATAAATGGCCTATTTTAAGATGTAGTTTTCCCTCCGTTTTATTATGCTAATATTTTATAGGTCATTTGAAAATCGTCTACAGAGAAAAATGTGAATTGTAGACTTTTAAATGACTGGTGCAGTCTAAATTGGACATCCAGGTTGGTTAGTTACAATGCTAACTATGAGTGACCTACTGTTTGGTTTCGTTTGGGTGTACTTGTTTTAAATTGTATCTTAAAAATAATCCACTATCTTTGACTTCTGTATAAAATGAATCTGCAAAAAGGGAAGCAAACAGTGTAAAATCAAGACTGAGAGCTGAAGAGCGATTATGACGATACAGAAATATTCTAATGGGGCATTAGCCATGATTGTGCCGAGTGCTGGCTCAGCAATCCCAAGACCGTGTCTGTAGACGGATGTGTTCTGTTCATGTTAAGCCAAGTTTTAACGTAGCCTCTGAGCGGTTCCCAAATGTTAAAGTGGATGGAATTTTGGTTAACTTAAATGTTTGTCTTGTCATGTATGTAGTATGCAGACTGCTGATAAAAAGTACTCTCTTCAATAAATCCTTAAGATGCGAGTTGTCTTTTAAATGGAAACATCAAATGGCCCAGGTAGAGCTTCAGTCAGTACCCGTGGACTGCTTTATTCTCAGCAGGCCACGGACCACCTTTTCTGAGGGAGCTGGCAGTCAGGACTCTCGGCCTCAGCAATGAGGCCAGCCAGGCTCACTCGTGGACCCTGGTAACACAGAGATTTCGCTCGCTCCCCAAACTGGGTCTTTGAGAGCTTCTCAGCAAGGTCACACTGTCTGTTTCCATTGACACTACAGACTTCAGACTGATTTTCCAGGATAAAAGCCAAAAAGGCAGGCAGTGGCCAGAAACTGCAGCGTCAACAGCTCGGGCTCCCAACAAGCGGCCCCAGGGACTCCAGTGCTTTTCATGAGGCCCTGTAGGGATGCGACTGGGGAGTGCAGCCATTCAAATGAAGGCACTGAAAAGGCGTCTCAGCCTCTTTTCAGTCAGGAAGCTGAATTCTTCATGCCAGAAAACCCTTAACAAGTCAACAGTCTTGTGTGAAGGATGGAAGGGCACAGGGAATGGACCATGGCCTAGAAAAGTATTCCTAAAAAGAACTTTCTCCTCAAGTGTAGAATGTCCCCCTAATTCTCAGAACTCCACTGGTGAGAATGAAACCTGCACAGAGCCCATGCTGGCCAGAGGGAGACAGGAGTGTCTTCTGGTTGACAGTATCGTTTTACTGACCGTCTCATTGGATTTTCCAAACAGCCCCGATACATCAGCAGAAAATGTCATCACAACCCTTTATTCCCAAGTACGTTTGGGTCAGTCCCCTCCTGCCTTCGGGCTGTTCATGGAGTCCCCATGTATGCTTAGGAAATCCTCCTAGCCCCCATGCCTGAAGGGAGTGCCCCATTAACTCTGGACCAGCCTGGTATTTGTCTTCTGGAAGACTAGCGATCCCCTCTGGAGAGCTCCAGGGGCACCAGACAAAGCAGGACAGCCAGCTTCTCTGGCCCCTTACCCCGGAATGCTTCCCTAACCCTTCTTGTTTAAATCTGAAAGACGTAACAGAACTGCAGACAGTGTGCCTTTAATCCCACCTGCTTTGGCAGGGTCAGGGTTGGGGTCAGGGGCTATTTAAATACTGACATCTCTAGCCTTGACCCCCTTATTCAACTTGTGCCTTCCACCATTCATTTATTTATAAATGAGCAGAACAGTGGCCAAGAACCTCTGGTCCGCTTCCACTCGCAGGACATCAAGAAGTTTAACTTAGCAGTGAATTTTGGTTGTGAAAGCTAAGCCGCAGAAATTGGGGCGCTATAAATAACAATGTATAGACAAGGCACCCACCCCACCTAGGGAGGCTGGGGAACAGAGAGGCCAGAGCTTTCAGGCTTCCTCCCCAAGGCCTCCCTTCACACAGCCCCTGCTAAGGCCAAGGGCACACGGTTACAAAATCGCCATCGAGCAAAGCTGACCAGGTGGGGGCTGAAGGTAAAGTGCTCATTCGTGCCCCCTGTGGACAATCCCAATGGCCACCACCCAGGTTTCCGTGGCTTATCTTTAGAAGCTAAGCCGACCACAGAATCTCAGAATTGAGACCTCAGGACAAAGGTTCACCCCATCCCTGCACAGGGTTTCTTCCCTATCCCACCTCTCACCCAGACTTTGACTGAAGTAAGGGAGGGGAAGCCACCACTGCCCCAACAGCCCATTCCCCTTTAGGATGGCTCCAATGGTTGGCAAGATCTTTCTAAGATGCCAAGCCTCAACTGACTTCTCAGCACCACTCACAACTGGTCCTCATTCTGCCCTCTGGGGATGAGCATAAGGCTAATTCCTCTTGCTCTTGAGAGCTAAGCAGACGTACCTCAGCCCCGATTCTTCAGGCATGATGCCGAGGTCCTTCCCTGTCCTTGATGACGAGGGCCCGGGTCTGACCATCTCCTCGCCAGCCCCGAGCCTCACTGAAGGTTCTGGCTGCCAGGTCACACCTCCCTTACAATCTACAAAGATGCCTGACTTCTTCCACAAGAAGGAACAGTCCAGAGTATGCGAGGGTTTGTAATGACAAAAGGTAACGCATTTAGTCAACCTTTACAAGAAAAATGTGAATGATTTTTATTTGCTCATGAGATCGCAGAGAGCCCACCCTCTCATCTTACACAAGTTGGCACGCCCTCCCAGAGATGCCCACAACGCCTCCCTTACAGACCAAGGCCCGCAGAGGTCACAGGCCCGACCCACGGTCACCCAGCGAGGACGCAGCAGACCTCCTCTGGCTTCAAATCCACTAGTGTTTCCACCACTCCGCACCGCTCTCATGTGGTCTCCAATCAGAGGTAAAACTCATCGACAACAGAGGCTGAGGAAAAACGATCGGCTTGTCTGTGTCCTGATTTCCCTCTGCAGAGCCACAACACAGACCCAGTCGTTTTTTCCCCATTTCCCCTCGTGTAATGATCCATTTCTAAATGAGCCAGCCTGGCCAGTCCTACAGGATGGCTTCATGTGCAAGGGCCTCGTCCTTCTGGACAGAGCCTTCATTTAAACCATCAAACCAGGACATCTGCAGAGCCGATACTGACGTGAGAATCATTCATTACATCAAAGGTGCAGTGGCGGGTTCTCTTCCTGCCCCAGGTGCAGGTCCCACCTGGCCAGACACCTTCACCCTCCATGCTGCTGTGGCCAGAAGCACACAACACAAAGACAAAGCCGTGGCTCGGAGCGTGGCCGGCCTTCTGGGGATGAGCCACCACCTCCTGGAGCTCTGTGAGGCTGCTTCGTGGAGGACTGAGGGTCAGCGCCCCGGCCCCCCGGGGCACAGGCCCCGAGTCAGTCACCACCACATCACAATGACCCGCTGGAGGACTTTATACTGACTAAAGCCGGACATATTGGCATGATCACTTGGGAAGAAAATTTTTCCTGAAAGATAAAGGGAATGTGATATTTTAATGATCACCACCCCAAATAGTAACTTTTTTTTAAAAAAAAGACTGCAGGAGGAAAACAAAAAGAGGCCAAGACTTTCTTTATAAATAAACCAGTCCATTTCAGTTAAAAATATCAATTTAAAAGAATATGAATTTATAAAATACTTGAATTTATCCAAAATTACATGCATAGGTATTTCATTTCTAATAATCAGGAAGTAGCAGCAGAAACTTAAATATGGTAAAAGACTTTATCAACAATAAATACAAAGGATATTTTTAGTGCAAAGAGTGCAGAAGGATTTCTCAAACAAAGATAATAAAAGGCATCCTAATTTGTACAAAATCAGGCCCAGCTCTACGCAATGGATACAGTTAATCTCTACTACACAATACAACCATTAGGATGAAACGCCTGTTAGCAAATCACATCTACTGCGAATGTGCTTAATTGGGACTGTTCATTCTTCTCTTGGCAGTTCATGTGTCCAGGAAAATCTGCAAAGAAAAACCCCCACCAATTTACTTGGAGTGACACTTCCGATGATGACACGAGGGGAGTGGCTCCCTCTCTCGTGAAGAGCCCCCTGGACAACGTCCTCAGCCCGTAGCCCCGAGGGCAGAGGACGAACGTCTGCCCACGAGGAGCCTGCGTCCAGCCAGTGGGCAAAGTGGGGGCTCGGCCTGCAGCCCAGCAGTCACGCTGAGGAGGAGAAGGTGGGCCAGGGGGCCGGTGTGTGTGTGTGTGGGCTAGGCAAGATGCAGGGGATCTCCTCAGGAGGGGAGCCTGGCCGGGGAAAAGTGTGAGGAGGAGGAGGAGGAGTGGGGGGGATTTGACAGGAAGGAGGCCCCCCAACCCCAGCGGCACAGCATGGCAGAGTCAGAGGCCTCTCTGTGCTTACCTAGAGGGGAGCGTGGAACTGGGTGTGGGTAGCTATAGCCTGCTGAAGCTTCTCCTCTTTGGCTCGGCGACAATGGCAAATCTAGAGGAAACGTGGAGAAGGCCCCTGAGTCGGGACGACCCAAAGCCCCCCCACTCCCCGAATGGGCCTCCGGGCCCTTCACCCTCCTCCCTCCAGGTCTGGTCTGTCCGGTCACAATAAGACACAAAACAAGCCTTTTGCAGCTAGGAAGACTGAGCAAAGCTCTGGTTCCTCCACAGCCAGGCAAATAGGCGAGCAGGGGCGGGGGGCGCCGTACGAGGGCGACGTGTGGCTCAGGGCCCACGGGGACACCCAGGCCGTCGGCGTCCGACCCCCATCCCGCCCTGCCAGTGCGGCTGGGGGCCCGAGAGAGAGAGGGGTGCTGAGGATGGATGCCCCACGCCCCACCCTCTGTTGATCCCGGACATGCAGGTCCCCAAGGCGGCCGGCCGGCCAGTCATCTGCCCAGAGTGACCGGTCCGCGGCCGCACGCTAGTACGTACGGTTCTCTTCTCCATGAAGCTGCTGAGAAAATCATCTATCTCCATTTTGCCCTCGAGGAAGTCCTCAGCAAGGGTGTCTGACTCCTCTTCAGCCTGGTGGGCCGCCACCTTCAGCCTTGCCTGGAGGGCGCTGGCGCTGCAGCTCTGAAAGAGACAACGGAATCGGGGGTGTCAGCCCCAAGCGGGGGCTGCGGAGGAGAAGTGGCGCCCTCTGCCAGGCTCAGGCCGAGGTACCTCGCCAGAACTCCCTGTGTGGACGAAAGCTCGGCTCTGGCGGATGGATGACGCACCCGGAGCATTCTTGGAGGCCACGCCGGGGACCCTCCAAACCCCTTCAGAAAGCACAGGCGTTCTCAGAGGCAACAGGATGAAAATCACGTCTGTCTCTGCACAGTCTGGGGGCGCCTGGGGGTCTCGCGTCACTGGACGGGGCGGCTGCTACAACCCCTTCCTCATCTAACAGCCCAGAGGGGCGGGCACACACAGGTGTGCCCTTCCATGCCAACGGCAGGCCCCAGGGAGGAAGAATCCAACTCCACGGGCAACCTTGTGCTGTCTCCTCAAGGACGGCAAATGAAACAGAACCCGTCTCACTTTGTGGGTACCGAGGATTCAGCCCAACATCAACAGCACGGGAACCCCAAAATACAAACAGATATGAAAATACTTCGAGGCAGAGAAACACACCTCCCAAAGCGAGTTTTGCGTGCCAAGAAGCCCATCCCCGCCACAAG